GGGGGGATATGGAGTAAAAAAAAAACACACACACACACACACACACACACACACACACACACACACACACACACACACACAAAAAAGTGTCTCATTTGATCTTCCCAATTCTAATTTTCAGTCAAAAATCAAGAATGTGAAAAGTGACTGACTGATTAGTTGCACTTTTAGTATGGTATGTTCGATGTAAGAACCTAACAAAATAATATTTTTTTTCAGCGGGGTGGGGGGTCAATCAAATGAAGATAAGCAATTTGGAAAATGGATGGAAGGATTTTCAGCTCACATCAAAAATAACAGTGGTGACAGGAGTGATTTTGATTTAAGGTTAACATTTTCCAAAGCAAGTTGACTTTCATTTCCAATCTCAATGACAAACTTTCTATAAAATCAGAATAAATTATCCCAAATGGTGTACTGTCTCCATTTTGTAGCGTTTTTCTTTGACTGCACTGCTTCCAATACGTGTATGCGGATTTTGGATCTCGTCCAATCAAATTTAAGCCTCTATGTGTTGCCATGTCACTCCAATCTGCCCAGGCCCACAAGAATCAGTCGTGCTGGCCCATCCCACTTAAACTTAATTAGCAAGGAGATTCAAATTCAAATGAATCCTCACAGGCCGAGTCTGCTGGCCCTCGATGATGTCAGCATTTTCCCGTCCTCTGATTCGTTGGTCAAAGCCAGTCGATTTTGACTGGTAAACACGTTTGCCGTGATCCGAGCACATTAATCACATTAATAATCAGCATTTTGAGGAGTATGATGTATTCTGTTTCATTTTTTTTAAACGTTATTAGGTAAACATCTCTTCTGAACTACTCTAGATCATGTACGTGGCACAGTTGCATGCTGTTACGCTGTTTTTTTTTTTTTTTTTTGTACAGATTTCAATAATTGTGCCATAATAGTGGCGGTATTGAGAAGCAGATAAAGTCCCTGCTGAAGGTACAAAATAAATGACCCGTCACTGGGTTTACATGACCTGAGAGTTTGGTCATGGGCATTAGCAAAGGTATGTTAGCTTGTAAACCACCACAATCACTCGACATCCTAATCCATCAAATGATCCATGCGCCGGATTATGTCAAGGAAGAAAAAGAGAAAATCACTATTGGTGGTCTTGAAATAAAATGCTAAGTTCAAACATATTTAGCATGTTTGTGCTGTATTATTTAAGAAAGTATGAATTGTGTGTATGGGTTTTGCAAGTACATATATATATTTTTTTGAAGTATTGTTTAAATGACGTGTAAAAAAAAAAATGTGTGTGGTACTGTAAAATGACGATCAATTTAAGTGGATAAACTCTAAATGTGGGGTAAAAAGCAAGGATGTGTTGATTTCACCAAATCTATATCTGAGCGTCTGTAAGGTATATGGTAGCCTGACAAAGGTAATTCAACTATGTTCGGCCCAGAATTGAAACACAAAAATGTTACGTAAAAAAATGTAGTCTTTTTTTTTTTTTTTTTTTTTCAAATTTAGATTTTCAGTGACCAATTGAAAACGAAGAACACACGATTGTGAAAGACACACATTTTCTGTTGCCAAGCCTGTTTTCTTTGCCTCTGGTAAATAGAATGTGCGCTCGCTCGTTTGGTGTGTGGTTTTTATTTATTAATTTTTTTTTTATGCGGTAACGTCAAGCAGCAGCTTTGTGTCTCAGCAGGGCAGCGGTGTTGTGAGGAACTAGGGCGTAACTCTTGTTAAAGTCCGCAAATAGAAAAGACTGACTGTGCCATTCTTGGTAGGTGACATGTCGTTTTGAGCACACTTATCTCAGCGTGTGGGAATTGAGGATCTGACGTGAGTCACGTTGAGATTTGTCATGTTTGACACAACGAATACACAGCCTACTGACCAACGGGATTGAGCACGGACGGTTTCGTGGAAGTTGCGGAAGTCTTGACTGATTTAGTGGGAGCCCCGCGTGATTGGACCAAAGTCTTGTTTGATTTAGCCGAAATCTTGCAGGATATGTGCACATGTTGTGTGTGAAGTCCTCCGGTGTTTTATGGAATTCTCAAGGGATTTGCGGGAGTTTCAAATGGTTTTGTGAAAGGGAAGTCTTAGTGGTTTTTGCAGAAGTCTTGCAGAGTTTGTGAAAGAAAGACTCCATGTATTTATATGACTGGAGATGTTATACTACCTATACATCAAAACACTTTGAGAAAACTAGAAAAAGAGCCTTGGAATACGATCATCTCATTCCTGCTCCCGTTGAAAGTCAAATTGTCGAGTTTTTAGTCACGGCCTAGTCTCAGACTGCGATTTTGCAAAGACTGAATTTTACAGTGGCACTAATTACTACACTACCACGAGATTCTTGATGCATTTTCTCCAAAATGGTAGAAAGCTACTAAATGGAGAAGTTTTTGGCTACAGTACAACAATCAACGAGCAGGCTGGGCTACCATCTGCTCCTCTTTCTGGACCATCCGGTCATCTGATTATGTTTGAGCTCATGTATTGGTTGTTGGTCGTGTCACCTTAGCGTCAAGACTGAAAGACTTGTGATAATATCGTCGTTGCCGGAGTGCAAAGACGAGGGGAAAAAAAACGGATCTAAAAACAACTGAGATTCTCATCTTTGATGGAGATGACTGGAGCACGCTGTGACTCCAGTAAA